CAAACTAACAGACAGGTATGCAGGTTCATTCATCAGTTCACCGTGAACGTGAGATATAAACGTAGAAGATAGCACCTCATGCTGTTTAGTGGAAATGCTTTCAGGAAGCAGTTACAGATTGGGATCCAAGTTTGAAAATAATATGAAGAAATGTGAGGGAAATTCACTTTAAATTTCAAGAATTTCAGAAAAGCAAACATTCTTGATATTGTTATTATTTACACTCATGCAATTTAGAGTTAAAAATAGCATAGCCAGGTGCAGTATGAGAGAGAAAGATGGGGGGAGGGGAGAGAGGGAAGCTTTAAAAACAAATAGTGTTAAATGAAATATTAAAAGGAAAATATTTCTATCTATCCAAAATATTTTTTTAAGTCTGCAGCATTTGTTCATTTCCCCATAAAAAGTACATATAAGCAGAAATGGTATCTGACATTGGATGTTGAAACGCACCCTTGACAGGCCTCCAGTTTCCTCAGCCTTCAAACAGTTCAACAGTAAGATATAATTGATATATTCAGTGATTGCTGCTTTGTGATGAAGAAATAGTATAGAAGATAAAATTCCATATAGTTGATGCATTTTTGGAAATGGAAGCTTTAGTATTCTGAAAGATTTTGTATTGTGCTTCATGCAGGGAAGAGTTCCATGAGCTTTGGTAGGGACTTCAAAGTTGGGTAAAATTCTTGTTAGTATCATTAATTGTGTATTTGAAATGACAATCGGTGTAAGAGGACAGAGAAATTACTGCCTACATTTCTGATTTCCATTATGTGCTTTTTCCCTGTATTTTGTGGTTGCTGGTATTTGCAGTTTCAGATTTGTAGCCTGCTAGCCCTATATATAGTTGTATGTAAGTTATACTCAGTATTCATTTTCTGCTGTTTCAAACTATCAGGCTTTAAGAACTCCAGTCCATTAATTTCTGGTTCTAGTTTCAATAGTTTTCACTAAACCATGTCCCTCAACACAAAATCCAAATGTTCCTTGAACATCTCCAGGGTCGGTGACTCCACCACCTCCCTGGGCAGTCCATTCCAGTGCCTGACCACTCTTTCAGAAAAGTAGTATTTCCTAACTTCCAGACCAAATCTCCCCTGATGCAGCTTGAAGCCATTCCCTTTAGTCCTATCACCAGTTACACAAGAGAAGAGGCCAACCCCCAGCTCACTACAGCCTCCCTTCAGGTAGTTATAGAGAGCAATAAGGTCTCCCCTGAGCCTCCTTTTCTCCAGACTGAACAATCCCAGCTACTTCAGCCATTCCTCATAAGGCCTGTGCTCCAGACCCCTCACCAATAGTGTCCCCTCACCAATATTGACCCCTCACCAATAGTACAATAACAGAAGGAATAGAAGACATGGGAATTTCCCTGATCTGTTTTTAAGATGGCTTTGAGATCTCAAAAAGAAAACACCAAAACAAACAAAAAAAAAACACGTCATTTCATGATGCACCTTTATTGTATCCTGAGACATCCCAAACCTATTAGTTGATACTCAGTGGAATTCTTATTGTTGTCATTTAACCAGAGTAGGTGTTTACTGGTCACTTGTTTTTTCCATGTTTGTTTTGATGAAATGGAGGAAAGCGTGGTATTTAAGCCTCTAGAATTTATTACCTCCTGAATTCCAGTGCTGTCTTGGTGATTGCATTATTTATCATTTGTTTCATTTAAAGTGGAAACAAAAAATTCATCATTTTGTTCAGCTTTTGTTTTACTTTCGATGTTTGATTTTACTTGTTGCTTTTTATACAGTACACTTTTCAGACCACAGTGTCTGAAAAGTTGCAGTTACATACAGCAATACATAATGGTTTTGTAGAGAGAAACAATTGTAATAGAAAACAAGAAATAGTCACAGTAAAGTTGAGCAAATTGGAGAGCAAAACCACTGTATTGCTAGCACTGGTGTCTAGCAGGTGTCTCCATTTCATTTGCTTGCTTCAGAATAACTTGTTTTTGCTAAAAGCAGTTTTCTGCCTTGGTCAGCACAGTGGGATCAGCAGGGTCCCCACAGGCCCCAGTCTCCTGCACCACACTATGTGACCACCAGCACAGCAGAATCAGGTTACAGCATGAGTCAGCTGTATGTGTTTTCAGTGATGAATGGTAGCCACAAATGGGGCTGCAGTTAATAACAAAATCAGCAGGTCAAGGGACTTGCTGTTCCCCTCTGCGTTTTGTTCATGAGGTTGCATCTGAAATACATGCATCTAAAACATTGTGTGCAGTTTGTGGTCTGCTCGGGGACTAGCGATTTTTATTTCAAACATGATTTTTACATGATTGCTTGTGTTAGCAGCATTCATCGTTCTCCTAAGAATTCATTTCATCAGTAACTTGTATAACTTTGTGCCACTGGGATAAGGAATTCACATTTCATACTTCTATGCATCTTTTGAAACTAAGTTATTATCTGGGGACCCTGTGGATTCAGTGGAGAAATGACTGCTTTTTTGCCTCTGTTAAGTGCTCTGGATTGTTCTGCTTTTTGTAAGAATATTATCTAAAGAAGGCATTGTGAATGGCTTCCTTTTATGACAGTAGATAGTTTGTTTCCATGCTCCTCTGTGTATCAGTGCACAGGCAAAGATAGATCTCCCATCTCAGACAGATGTTGAAGAGATCATACCGTAAGTACTTCCATTACTGCACTGTTGGGATCTTCTTGAGAGCTTTAGATAAAGGGAACTGTATTCTTAAGAGGCAATTATTCACCAGAAAACAATATAAGGATTTGTTTTGACCTTTTCTTTCTTTCCAAAGTGGCGAAACAGATCTGCTGAAATGAAAGTGACACAGAATTGTGCCATTGCTGTCAAGTCTTAGTAGATACCATGATAATTCTATCATGAAAGGAAGACAAGGGAATCAGCTGTTATGGATTTAATCCTGCAGACAAAGGACTTTTTGCTAGCTGCAAGCATATCACTTTATACTTTAACAATAAAGTATATCAGCTGATGTATATATGTGTCTATTAGAATTTGGAGTCTTGTTAATATTGTATATGATGGGTATTTTATATTACTGTTTTCAGCAAGCGTGTAGTTTTAATTCTTCACATTCATCGTCAGAACTCTATTATGACTGTTAGTTTAATAACTCCTTCAGTAAGTCATGAGTGAGTAACTGCTTGTTAACCACTCTGTGTCACTTTGAATGCTTTTGCTGATGTTTATTATAAATTAAATAGTAGAGGACTTCATCTTAGATAAGAGGATCACAGGTTAAATAACCCTGCAACTTAATAGTGCTTTTGATTCAAGTTTGTTTACTTCTAGTTTAGCTCCAAAAATAAAGCAGTATAGCACATAAATATAAATACATCAACTGTGTAAATGCAGCAGATACTTAAGCACAACAGTGGCTATAAGTACAAGTTGGTAGATAAGATGCTAGAGAGCAGCCCTGCTGAAAGGGATCTTGGTCAACAGTAATCTGAACATGAGTCAACAGTGTGCTTAGGCAGGCAGAAAGGCCAACCATTTCCTGGAGTGCATTGAGCATGACATTGTCAGCCAGGTGAGGAAAGGGATTGTCCTGCCCTACACTGCACTGGTGTTTCCTCACCTTGTTTACCATTTGCAGGCTTGGGTGCTACGCTACAAGAAAATGAAACTCTTAGGCAGTGTTCAAAGGAGGGCTACAAAGGTGGGGAAGGGTCTAGAGGGGAAGACATATGACAAGGGTCTGAAGTCCCTTGGTTTGTTTAGCCCAGAGCAAAGCAGGCTGAGGGGAGGCCTCGTGATGGCCTGAACTTCTCACAGGGAGCAGAGAGATAGCGCTGAGCTCTGCACAGTGATGTGGACTGTGTGACAGTGATGGGACCTGATGGAACAACATGGAGCTGTGTCAGGGGAGGGTCAGGTGGGGACTAGGGAGAGGTTTTTCACCAGATGGTAGTGGGCAGGTTCCCTATATTAATGGTCACAGCCTTGAGCTACAGGAGATCAAGGACTGTCTAGAGACCGCTCTCAGACGTATGGCCTGATTTTGAGATGGTCTTGTGTCGAGCCCAGAATTGGTCTTGATGATCCTTACAGATCTTTCCAACTCAGGATATTCTGTGATTCTATAAAAGGATATAAATGAAATCTAATTATCATGACACCCACGGGCACTGAAGTCAGCTGTGCAGCTTTCTGAAGTTTAATTGATGAAACTATTGCATGTCATACATTTTAAAGAATGGTGTACTTCTATGCTACCACCCAATAAACTTGTGTTGTTCCTTCTGAAAGTTTTAATAGTCTTAGTATGTGAAAATGCATTCCACCAACATCCAAATGTGTGGGATTTCAGAGATAGATGCATAGTATTGAATATACTGCAGACAGTAAGGAAGATATTGGCATCTGCAGAACAAAGTTGTTGTAAATACAGAAAGTACGCATAAAAATTGAATAAAATGCAATTGGATCTTAGCGTATGTACATGCTGTTAAGAGAAAGTTTCTTACATTCAAAAATGATTTAAAGAATTTTTTGAGTACAATCTTTAAATTTCCGTATCGTAAAAGAATTTAAAGGAAATGTTGCTTAGATTTTTATATAGAAAATATAGCAATCATAGACATTAAAACTGGAGAAGACAGTTTGCTGCAGCATATATGCTACTAGCAAATGAAACCAAAACACAATAAAGAGGAAAAAGCATTTTGGTTTCAATAATGTTTATGTTTGTTCAAAAAGATCTAATGCATACTTATTGAATACAATACCCTATGTTCAGAAATAATAAATGTAGTCTATGTACTTAAGGGAAGTAAATAATCAGCACATATAGATGCTTGTACAGATAAAGCTTTTGTTGTATGTGTTGCTCCTGATACTGTCCATTATTATCCTTCTTTTTGTTGCCTTTATTTTGATTTGTAAATTCAAACCTCAAGACTTTTCAGAAGTTGTTAAGATATTGTAGACACTGAGAAATATTGGACAGTTTCAGAAAACTGACATATCTTCCTTTATGGATATATTTCTTCTTACTGCAGATCTAATGCATTTGAAGTGCTGGCACTCGATGGAGTTAGTACTGGGATACTTCAGTTTTATACAGCCCAGGAGAGTGCTGACTGGCTGAGAGCAATATCAACTAACATCAGTGATTTGACACTGCAAAATGTATGTTACTTTCTGCATATTTTCTTGTCTGTGATGTTGTAAAATTATATCTAATTTTCCAAGGGCAGAAAACAATTCACACGTAAGATACAGCATATAAACATATAAAATGTGTTCTAATGGGAAGGAAAAGGACAAATTAAACACCAGGAAGTGGTTGTCTGATCAATCAGAAGTAGTAAGAAGTTTTCAAGAACTTGCAGTGTTATGTTAAAACAAATAACAGTAAAAAATTCAGATTTTAACTATGATTTTAAAGCCTTTTTAAGGAAAAATATGGATCCTTCCTAGTCATTTCACAGAGCTTTAGAAATGGCCAAATAGTTTGTGTTTATATTTTTGTAATTAAAACATTCTTAAAATGAGTATTGATTTTGAAATAGGCGTGTGGAAATTCTAGCTAGTAGCTGGAATAGAATAGAAGCTAATGAAGTGGAACTTGTAGTGGCTTACTGGGAGATGGTATTCTTACCTCTGTAAGTTTTCTAGTTGTGTTATTTAAAATTGCATTATTTCATCCTTCTCTGCAAAAGCGTAAGGGTGCTTATCCTGGTGTAAGTTAAGGCTGTAAATTTATATGTGGCATTTGCTGTTGCAAGCATAAGTATTAAATAATCCCTGGAGAAACAGAAAATCATTATTTGGACAGGACATTATTATTCCAAGGAAGAACAACTGGAAATTATTGAAGATCCTGGAATGAATTATAGAGTTAAACAGGCAACTCAAGCATGTTCTATATTGGAAATATATTTCAGTCTTTCTGAAATGGTAGAAATCAATGATGAGAAAGGAAGTGTGCAGCTCTCCATGCCTGCAATGGTTTTAGTCTTTTTTTTTTTTTTTTTTTCCCAGATGTGCTCAGACTGTAATTTTGCTTAGATGATCTGATAGAGTAGATATCTTTAGTTGATACTTTTTATTCTAGAGTAATTGTTGCTTAGTTCTTTAAATTATATTCTGTATAATTTTTATTGGGTTTCAATATAAATCTTTGGTCAAACCAGATTATAAATAGAAGTTATTTTTCTGGTCTTCTAAAGTTACCTGTAATCACATTTGACCAAAATAGTTTTTTTATTAAATTAATTATTTTTTAACATTCAATTACTGAGTCAATTTATTTGACAAAATCAAATACAGTTGCTTGTGATATGTTCTTTATAAATTATAGATATTGGTATTTCATAATTCTGCTGTTCTAAATTATACGGGAATATTTTTAGAGCAATTCCAGACTATAGTTCCTAATCACATTTCTGTTTCTTTCACTTTCTAAAGTGAGAAAATGCCACTTTAAGGATATAGGTGAATAAATCAGTAAAAAGCAGCTATAAGCAGATTTTATTATGGGAAGGGTCTGTTATTTTCCTAATGTGCTTTGCCCAGTAGAGTGTGTCCTGACACAATATCTTAATGGTTTTGCAACCTGTCAGCAACAATACTCTTTTTTATACTGAGTATTTTTCTTGGTCCTCTCAATTATCTATCACAATAATGAATTGTGTAAACAAAGTAGTCCACCTGGTGTTCTTCTAAGTGGCCATTCAGGAAAGAAAGCTGTTGTGTGTGTTTCTTTTCAAACTTGAAAAATTAATGCATTCACTGTTCTCAGTCAGATATAAAGTCTGTACAAATCACATTAGAAAAGAGTAAATTTCTTCAATTTAGCGCTTGACAGGCTCTGTCACATGTGTAGCCTGTGCTGTGACTGGACTGGTCTGCACATTGTGCTGTTTTAATTACTAATAATCAAAACAGGAGGTGTAATAGCATAATAGTATCTATTTCATTGCAAACTACTTTTTTTAAGACCAAGAAGATGAGATTGGAGTGCACCTTAAGTGTATAGCAAAATACAGCAAGAGTCTGCTCCCCACCTCTAAGGGGCAAGGGACACAGAGTGTTTGACACCACAGCAAAAATGGCAAGGCCCTTGGAATAGTCTTCTAGTCTTCTGGATGCTTTTGATTACCTCACTGTTATCATTTCACAAAATGTTACTGCTGTTATCATCGTTCAGAAATCTGAAGTTCCTCCTACCTTTTTCCTTCTGCATCTATCCTGTAGTCCTTGAAGAGAATCACTACCTGTTGAAAAACTACTTCACATTATCCCTTATCTACTTAAAAGTTAATTTATTTATTTTCCGACATTGAATTCAATTGTTTTCCAAATACTTAAAAAATTTTTATTGTCCCATGCCTTTATATCTTCACATGAATTATTTGCTTAATGCTCAATCACAATGGACCTTCTCACTGATACTGTTGGCATAAAGAATGCCAGTGTTCTTACTAGTTCTATTGCTAAGTATTTAAACAATATTTTCTATTCTTCTATTTTACTTCTGCTCATTTTTAGATTTTGCTAATATTCATTTCATGACTTGATCCAGTCTGCCTGCAGCTTAATCATTCTTAATTCAGTTATGCCTGTTAATGCTACTCTTTTATATACATTCGTCATGTACTTTTGCATACCATTTTGAATAATTTTGTTTTGAATTTTAGTTCTTAAATTGCTCATAGTGCCAGGCACCCTCTCTTTCATGCCACACTTTTCTCTATATAATTTATTTTGCCACTTTGCCACTTAGCAGTCTTGTTCAACAACAGCTAGCTCTCTGTCAGATCTCCCGGTTATGCCAGAAGACAACCTTATTGTAGGCAGTATAAAAATAACTACCAAAACATGACACTTCTGCTAATGTCAGACTACTCTTTTGAAGTACTAAAACATCTAACTTCTTTGCAAAGCCAAGCTATCTGGGGATAAAATAGAAAGGAGAAATTGTCCTTCAATAATGAAGATGTGGAGAGTCATTGCTGCGTAAGATTGCTACCCCAGGATGCTAGTATATCTAGCAAGAGTTAATCAGTAGATGAGAAATAATGATTCTGGTACTAAGCTGTGACATAGATAGTTCTTATAAAACACAGAAGCACGGGGAATGTTACAACACAGTGAAAGAGGTAAGGGTGTCTTTCTAGCCCTGCTTATTGATCAATGCCTTGTACATTCAGCTAGGGAAATCTCCTGATAACAGTGATACAAGCAGTGGATTGCTTTTTGCTGAGAACCCTTGCCCCAAATTATTCACCAGTCTGTTCATATTCTTGTATTTCAGTTGCTGTTACACCCACGTGAATCTTCCCCATCATTGCCATTTGTGTTTCAATCCCCAAGCTTCTCAGTATTCCCCAAGCTTTCCACATTTACCTTCGGTGAATCAGAACCTCATATTTATTTCTTCATGCACCTCTTTTCTCTCAGGAGGAGGTATAGCTGAAGAAACTGAGGGGAGATTGAAAACAGAAACTGTCAAATTCAAAAGCACAGGAGACAACTTAGTCTGCATCTGATTCTCACTCCTGTTCTTATTTGCTTACTTAGAAGGTTCTTTGTAGGATGAAGTGGCAGTGCTGAGCTGGGGATGATTTTTACATGAGTTCTTTAGAATAAGTTCTCCCTCTGCTTTGCACCATTCAGGTAGCCAGCTATTCAACAAATAAAGCTTTACTCGTGGATCTTAATTTTTTATTTATTTTTCAAACAGAAAAAAAAAAAAAAAAAGCCACCTAAAAAAAGAAATACCTTTTCCAAAAAAGTGGTCAGATGCTGGAATGGGCTGCCTGGGGAGGTGGTAGAGTCACCAACCCTGGAGGTATTCAAGAACATTTAGATGTTGTGTGGAGGAGCATGGTTTAGTGGGAAATATTGGTGTTTGGTGGACGGTTGGACTGGATGATCTTGTAGGTCTTTTCCAACCTTGGTGATTCTATGATTCTAAATTTAATGCTGTCAGTTCATTTGCATTAAAAAGACTTACTATATTTATTACTTTCTCAAGTTTTTTTTCTATTTTTTCAGCATATTTTAAAGCTGTTATTTTTCAGTATGTTAATCACAAATAGATGAGTAATTTACAAGCAGGTAAGAGAGTGAGTTAAGACACAGTTGTGCCACTGTGAGCAGTATTTATGGTTTTTGTAAATAATTCCAGCAGCTTCACTGGAGGATGGTAGAAATTTAAAATTTGGTTTGAAGACAGGAATATTTGCCTCTTTTAATACATGTGTTGTAGTATTTAAACACTTTCTGCTATGCCTAAATGTGCAGGTGTATATAAGTGATACACTCACTGTACAGAGAAATTTCTGACTTAAGAATTATGAGTTTTGAACTTACATATAAAAAGAAAGAGGGCAGATGGCTTCCTTTCATTAAACATACACACATAATATGTGTGATAAATACAGATGGAAATAAAATCCTTGAATGTCTATAATACACAGGAAGCAACATAAAAATTTGACTGTCTCAGTAGTACTACAAACAGTCTTACTGATGGGATGAAAATGTGATACTTTTTTCTTGGTGCCTTTTTTTTTTAATTTTAAATTCAGAAAATCGTGTTTGAAGGTGCTACTTATCAAACCATTGAGACTATAAAGGGAAGTCAATAAGGATAGGAATTTCATCACCTAAATTTAGACAAACAGTAAGCAATTGTGTACAACCCTTTTAGAGGCAGAAAAGAAGAAATAGGTACCTGTCAAGATCTTTATCTCTCTCTTTGCTGACTAGAAAGATAGTATATCAGATGTAAAATTATTATTATTATTATTTTTAACATTGTCAATAGTGAGATAAATCCCTACCTGGGAGATATTTAGACGTAAGTGTGTAGTTCTGAGTGATTTCATCCCCATTCCATTCCTGCTCTGTATGTATTCATTTAAAACAGTGTAGTAATTACAGTTGCTTAATGCTTCCAAGTTGCCTGCTGTCTTTGAAGATCCAAGGTTTTGGTTTTAGCCTCTCCTGATGTTTCCAGTTATTACACTGCAGTGCTGAAAACTCATGCAGTCCCTGCAAGGTGTTGCCTATTCCATTTGTATTCCTGTCTAAGTGCATCAGCTGTGCAGGGATATAGAGAGCACCTGCTGCCTTGCAAAGTGGAGAGTGCATACTTTTCTTTCCTCCTGATGTAACGTGATGCAGAAGGAGATCTTTCTGCTCCCCTCAGTTACATTAGGGCTGCAGCCATCCCTGCTTTGAATAGGGAATGAGCTAAGGCTGTGCAGTGAAACACTGTGGAATAGGAAGCATTACTTCCTGTACCAGAAGGAATCTGGACTGATGATGAGAATGCTCTTCCTTCACTCACCAGAAAAACTGCATGTCCTGTCTCATACTTAGGTTTCCAGGCTTATTGGAACATAGTAAAATAAAAAGCAAAGTAGCAAAATTCTTCCTGTTACATTGAGTGTTGAAGTAATTTGGCTGAATCGTAGAGGAGGATGAAAGAGCTATGATCTCCACTAGTTCTGATTATCTGCACTGGTTTATATTATTGTAATATTTATGATGTCTTTGAGTTGACTTACAAGGAAATAATATTTTCTGTGTGTGTAGCTTGACTCCTGTGTAGTTACTTTGTGCATATGTTTGTTTCTGAAGCACTGGAGATCACCTGTAGCTGAAGTTGAGCTTTGTTTTATGGTATTCTTACTGATGTTACAGTGTTTCAGGTGTCTTTCCTTATGTCCATACACACCTTATGTCCTGTACAAATACTCACATAACAGAGTGTGGTTCTTGAGTTCCCACTGTTTTGATACTGTCGGGGCCCTGAGAGCACCAAGAAGCTCTTCTACCTTTTCCTCTCCCCAGGGCTCCAAGTCCATGCAGGACTATGGCTTGAGCTGCTGTGGTCAGAGCTGTGTGTGAGAGCTGCGAGAAGCCATGCCAGAGGCCCCACTTCAGTCCTCTCCCTTTGTCCTTGTCTTTGCTATGATGCACATGAACTGCAGGCAGTTCCCTATGTCTGTTGTGGTTATTCCCATTCTTCCTCTAGGATGGTGGGAAGGTGCAGCAGAGCATGGTGAGGCCCCTCTGGGAGTCTGATCAGCTCTCCCAACAGCACAGGGTGACAGCTAGGCATGGCAGCTGCCCCAGGGTCCCAGCAGGTCAGCCTTGGCCTACTCAACCCCTGAGGTGCAGTTAGCCCCACATGTCTGTTCTCATCAGCATGCCTGTTCTGTTTGACCACTCAAATCAATATAAATAGGCTGGAAAATAATCAGAGAGAAGGAGTCCTGATGGACCGTGATGGATTAGGGCTGACCAATAACTTCATCTTGCCAAGGGCCTTGGTTTTAGTCTGTGTACAGTAGAGGCTCCTGCTGTCGTCCTGTACTCCTGTTATACTTCATGTTTTGTTCTAGGGCCATTTTGTTTGCAGTCATAGATAATTTACTCTATGCAAAATAACTGCTTGCTATCACCATCTATTAGTTACATGTGCATGTGTACGTATATATCATTACATTCCACAATGGTACTTTGTGAAAACCAAATAAGCAACAGTCTCATGGTCAGTATATTGTTATTTTATCGATAAACAAGTTAAACAGCTTCAGAGAGCCCACAAGAATTCCAGCAAACCCTGGCACATCCTGAAACCTCTGCAATTAGTTGTAACACAAAGCCTGTTGGCTGCTTCCATGCATATTTTCAGGACACGGATTGGATGGAATTAACTTTCTTCATTGCAGCCCTCATGGTGCAGTGATTTGCATTTGTGGCTAAATCTTTGTTGATATCAGTGTTTTGGCTGGTGCTAGTCAGTGCCTTTAGGGCATCAAGGATTTATCTTTTTCTCAATCTGAACCACCCTCAGTAAGGAGTGGGCAAGAAGCTGTGAAGGGTCATAGCTGGAACAGCTAACTTACACTGATGAAGGAGATATTCCATACCATCAATGTTGTGCTCAGCAATAAGTATGGGTTAGTGGGAAAAGATGGGTGGTTTTTCTTCCATAACTGCTGGGAGACTAATTGGACATCTGGTTGCTTGTAGCAGGCACTGAGAGATTGCCTTTGGATCACTTCTTTTTTTTCCTTTTTCCTTTGCTTATTAAACTGTCTTCATCTTCACCCTTAAGTGTTACTGCTTTTCCTATTTTTAACCTCCTCCTGATGGAACAAGGAAGCAAGAAGGCTGAGAACTACATGACTGCAAACATGCTCTGCTTATCCCCAGATTTCATATTACAAATCTACTATTGCCAGGATACAAGACAAGATTCTGGATTTCTTCTGCTCTTTTCCTGTATCAATTGTAGCTTTTCCCATGCATAATTGTAGTGTTTGGTATTTATCATAAACCTTTCACTGTTTATAACATAGGCCAACAATGTCACTGGAGGTACTCATCATCTTTCCAGTTCTTGCAGTCTTTATCCCTGCACGTAGAGGAATGTATATTTCCACAAATTAAGTGCTCTTTTTAGATTCCATACTGTTAGTATACTTACTAATATCAGAGAGTATCTGCCAGGGTTTGCCCACCACTCATCTCTGCAAATGGTATCTGCCAAAGAAAATCTAAAATCAGACTAACTCTAATCTGAACAGTAAACAAGAAGAAAGATAAGTAATTTATACTGAATGGTAAACTAAGAGGAAATTCTGAGTAATGTTTGTTTCATCTCTAATCATGTCTTATGCTGTAAGTAAGGTGTGTACAGTATAATATTTTTACACAGAGTGGAAAACTTAAATTCAAAAATGCATATCTTTATTAAGGATTTTATGAAAACTTTTGAGTCTTTTGTTTTATAAACTTAGCAATAATGTAGTATTTATGCATGGAATTTTTAAATTTCTTATTATTTGGAAGTGAATGCAGTGTTTAGTAACTGTCTCAGTGCTAGCTGCATCACAGAAACACTTTACATCAGTTTATTAATAACTGTGTATTCTGCTTCTCTGTTCTATAGATGAAAATGGCAAATAAATGTTCTTCTCCCTCAGACCAGGTAAGACTTTCATTATGTTATCCACATTTTCTGATGATTGCTAAGTTGCAAAATTTGCAGTAAGCCATTAGCAAACACTGAAAGTTTTCTATGGTTTTAAGTTCTGAATTAAATTCTACTCAGTACATGATGTATATACATGACAGAGGGGTACAGTGTAACTTACAACTGTACCTTGGAAAGCACCAAGTGTGTTTGTGTGTAGTATAATCACAATGAGTCTGACAAGTTAAGCGTGTGCTTCAATCTCACATAGTGCACAGTTAGCCAACAAGTTATGGATCTAATCTGCTTTGAACATGTCATATTGTGCAGATGGCATATTTGCCATCATCCTTTGTCTGGGACTTCTAAAGGTGAGCCTGGTGAGCTATTTCTTCTGCTCCTGCTATCCAAATGTCCCGAAGTCTCAAATGAATGTATCAAACTGGGAAGCCTTCTTACTTCAGATCTTTTTCTTTTACTATGTAAAACATAATTTTAGCATTTTTTCAGGTTAATCCTGTAATTTTGGGAAACACTTTGAAGGTTTTATTGGAAATTTTCACTTTATATGTGCTTTCACAGCATCAGTCTGGCATTGAACCATTACTCAGGAAGAAAGAGCCCAATCCTTGCACTTTCTAAAAAATGCTGGTTTATGGATTAAAAACTGAAAATGATGCAAAGTATCTTCCATATTTAATGTTTTGCTAAAGTAATTTATTATAGAATTTTATTGCCGATATTAAAAACTGAGTCAAAAATGCTTCTTACTGGGAATAAATAAATAATTGTTACTAGCATGGCAGATTGAATGTTCTTTTATATGTCACTCATATGTCATTTGTAAAATGTACTTGTAAATTTACATACTTTTCTAGAAGCTATTAGAAATATTTAACTATTGACATGTTCTTACACATTATGTTATTTTCTTATATTTGTGTCAGTATTCGAAAAAAAATGCACCTGAAAAAAAAATGCACTCTTTAATTCTGTGCATGGCAGACAGCCAGCAATTGTCCCCAAACCAAAATAAATACTACACTGTATAAGAAGGAAGCATTTAATTGATCTCTTTGCCATGGTTTTTAATTATTAATCAAGTCCATATGAAAAACTGTTGATTACGAAAGGTAGGGGAAAAAGTATTGAATATGAAATGACAATTCCTTGTTTTTTAAAATATATTGAGGACAGTCATACAGCCTGACATTTGATTTCCTGAATTAGCAGGTTAGTCTCCATAAGCTGACTCTCAGTGCAGAAAATTATCCCCTTCCAGAGTTATTCATATGAGGAACTTGGTACTGCTTCTTTAAATTATTCCTTATAGGAAACTTTTTTTCTGTCTTTCCTTTCATCATTAGAAGAGAAACCTCCTAGGTTAGTATCTACAGTAAGTGCCTAAAATTAAGTAATACTTATCTCACTTTTTTCTGTGCAGAGTATGAGAATAACAAAACAGAACCAGAACTTTAATGTCAGGCTTGAATATTTGAGACAGGACTGGCAGAAACAAACACTGGGTTATTTCCTTGCATGGAAAGTTACCTCAGCCTGTGTTGTGCCAGTTTGTCCACAAGTACAAGTATTAACGGGTATACAGGTATTATAAAAATTTAAGTTATTTGGTAAGTAGCACAGCTAAAGCTGTGGCTCCAAGTGGCTGTATAACCAGATGTAGGAAAAGGTGAACTCTCTCTATGTGTATTTTCATTTTCTCTTTTGTAGTGATTACAAGGTTTTCAGTATTTATAGAAGTAAATAATTTAGAGCACTGGAAGAATCCAATATTTTCACCGCAGAAATACTTCATCAGAACTATCACAACCAGAGTCAAGACCTGCAATGGATGCAGTTGTGCATTAATTGAACCAACAGGAGTTTGGATAATTTTTTTAATTTTGATATTTCTAAAATGTCTTCAGTAAATAAAGAGACAATTGTCTAAACCATGAGCTCGCTCTTGACCTCTGGCAGAAATTATACAAAAAAAGAAATCTGGAAACAACATATATGAAAGCACAGCATGTGACAAGGAAAGACTAGAGGACATAAATTAAGATGCCTCAGCAAGAGATAGATCGGTAACAAAACTTACCTGTTAGAAAAAGGCAAAGACAAATGTTTGTCTTCTACGCAGTGCATCGGAAGTCAGCCTTCTTAAAAGGCTTTTAAGTTGACCTTAAAAGGTCACTGCAACAGATGGTTGCTGCAATTAGTACAAACAAAAATTACTAAATCTCAAGTTACACTATGAGGAAATTTTTGATGATGTCTATTCTTTTGAGGCCTGGAGATATAAGAAAGGCTGGTCAAAGTCTGTTTAAATTTTAATATATTCATTGGTCCTTATTTTTTTATGTTTTTTTTCTCATTTCTTTGGGTATTTCAACTACAAACTGTGATACCACCTCCACTGTTAATTAGCTTGTACTCTTTTTTACTGTATTTTGACATTGTTTACCCAAGTAGAATTCCTAAAACATCTTACTCATCTATCTGGCCTGTTAGTTTATCCCATTATTATTAGCCATGGGCTTGAGCAGCCAGGTGATTTTCCCCTTGTGTTGTCTGCAATGTCCAACAGTTTCCCAAGGTATTACCTTGTCAGTTTAATGTCAGTCCAGGCTGGCCATCTTCCACAACCATGTCTCCATTGTGGCTTTGGAAAAAGAGGTAAGCATTCAAGGTTGTATGTACTAAATGACTTCAAGACAAGCAAGTTGTTTTGTTGTAGGGCCTTTGCAGGTATACTGCATGTGATGATATACTGGAAATACTGACCAGGGCTTATCCATGACCTATGTGGAAACACTGAAAGAAATGGGGTTTTGATACTGAAAGAACAGAGCACAGAGATATAAATGAAATTTTCAGGAGTGTTAACTTAATGCTTAGTGATAGCAAGTACAAAAGGCAAGGAATTATGCAACACAAGCTACGTATTCTGGATCACAGTGGCTTTTCCCTAGTTTTGAACTTAAGAAATTTTAGTTTTTTTCTAATTAACCCAGAACAAAATATTTGAATTTTTGTGTATAGTAAATGATTTTATATCTAATAATAATTTGATAGGGTAAAAAATTAGTCTGATATATTTACAGCAAGCAATTCATGTTAGACATAAGGAAGAGATTTTCTTATCATCCGTAAAGCTAACAAAGCCCTAGAGAAATTATGCAATTACTTTTACTGGAGATCATTGGCTTTGCATTTTGAAGAAGTAATGTACTGCATTTATCAGAAGCCTCTTTTCCCCTCTGTTTTTAATGCTATGTGGTCTTAATTCTGAGTAAAGAGATTTTCAAATATGGAGAGTTTTCCCGTTATTCCTCCTTGTTAACTGTTGTCCCAGGTATGCCATGAACATTTTCTCTTGGTTTCATGCTGCAAGTTAAAAGGAACCCTACATATACTCTTGTAATTAAAAGTGTAGCATATGCTCATAAAATTAGTAAGTCTGAATTGTTAGTCTGGAGAAGTTAGATTCTTACAGACAATTTTGTAATTTGCAACTGTAAAATGACAGCAGAACTAAATTCTTTCAAGCATAAAGTAACCACTTAAAGTACAATTGAGATGTTCCTTGGTGGCTGTTTTAACTTCTTTTGCATGGGAGGTCAGCTGTGCAAGAGAATTCTAGTGAAATTCTCTTGATCTGCTTCAAAGATTTTTCTTGGACCTCTTCTCTTTCACTGAAAATACAACTTATTCTAATATGTAAGTACCACTTCAAAGCACTTGAACTTTTTAACCTATCAGTTTGCTATTATGTAGTACCTTTGTGGGGTAAATAATTATTTTGCTTATTTTTGAGAGAAGCTTGCTGTAGATGAAAAGGTAGGCAAAATTTGCCAGACTTTCCAGAACAAATCAAGAAATTATACAACTGTGTTTCTGAACTTATTTCATGGAGTGTGACACATTGTCTACAATACACACATTTCTCAGTTTCCACAGTGTTTACATTTTCCATTTGGTGTGTGTTGTGTTAATGAAATAGTTTATCTTAATTTTTTTTTGAAATTGTGAAATTTCTAAACATTGGATTCTAAAAAATGTAGAATAGATTCAGTGAAGGAAATGTACTCCTATTTAAGTTGAAATGTTCAAAAAAGTGCATGTCAGTAGTGCTTCTTACCCTAATGAAGACTACTTCTTCCAACATTTAGCTTTTTCTGTGATTTCTCTGGCAGTGTGTAGTACAATATAGTTCTGGCTTCAGTCAGAAGTCATTTTCTCTAGTTAAGCTGTCTTCCTTAGCTGTTGGAATTTGTTAAAGAAAAATTGCAATTGTTCTTTATTCTCCTTTTTATAGTATTTTTCTGCTTTATGCCTTGTCAGAAAAACTAGAGTATGTCTTGTGGATTGTCAGAAAAACTTGGAGTATGCTCTTTGCAGCTTTTAGAACCCATTGCTTTTCCAAGTAATATTATAGAACTATAAAACTATTTCACTGGATTAACACTATCAGTTCAGTCCTCCTTCTGAATGATTCTCCAATTAAGATTATTTTAACAGATTTTTAAGTAGAACTGTTATTTCATTGTTTAACATGTAAAAGGAACCTAAGACTATATTTTCATCAGTTTTCTTCTTTGAAGACACTTTTGCAGTACCTGTGTTTTCAAAGTCTTTTTTCCTTTTCCAAAATGGCAGAAGAAACAGTTTGAGTATTTGGTGAGGAAGGGAATAGCTTTTTAGGTATACTTTTTAGTTGTTGTAATATGTTAAGATTCAAAATAGAAAAATAGGACCAAAAGCATGAGAACATGAATTTTCCATTTTTAATTAGTTTAGATAGTTCCTGCTACACAAATAGTCCTACTGATTTAGTATAATACAAGAATGCAAACAGAACTGGAAATCTGCTAATACAGAATAAGGAGGATCATGATAGTTAAATAAGATTTGACCACATATTGCTGAGATATGAATGTTGCTTTTGAAGTGAGAAAAGGAACTATTGTGCAGCCTGAATAAAGAATGAAATCTAATTAGGTAAAAGAATG